TATTATAACGATGGCTACAATAGCATAATGCAAATCATGCAAGTTTTGTATCTTAAAATTGGCCCCACTTACTACAACTTCTGCGTGGAAGCAGACGCGCGCCGCATCAAGCTAGCTGAGCGCAGCATCACTGACCAAGCCAAAGAAGCTAGGAAGTCAATTTTATCAATAAGAAAAGAAGAACATGAGGTTGACGTGTCAGAGGAAGACCAATTGTATGGAGCAAGCATCGCCGATTAAAGGTAAATCTAAAAAATTAAACTGTATACACAAAAAACTAGTATGAAAAACTTTAACCGCGTTTTTCTGGAAACACTGTTTTCAAAATCGGTGGGACAAATATCTCAGCCAATTTCCATCCGATTGGTTTGAAATTTTAACACAATCTACTCAGATATATTTCCCTTTCGAGTACGTAGAATTTTTTCGAAAGCTAGCTGAGCGCAGCATCACTGACCAAGCCAAAGAAGCTAGGAAGTCAATTTTATCAATAAGAAAAGAAGAACATGAGGTTGACGTGTCAGAGGAAGACCAATTGTATGGAGCAAGCATCGCCGATTAGAGGTAAATCTAAAAAATTAAACTGTATACACAAAAAACTAATATGAAAAACTTTAACCGCGTTTTTCTCGAAACACTGTTTTCAAACTCGGTGGGACAAATATCTCAGCCAGGTTGAAACTTTTTTTGCAGTAACCGTTTCTTTAACAAAATTTTAGTGGAAAAAATGAACTTTCTTCCCAATAACGTGCCAAATTGCGAAAAATTAGTATTTCTCTATAATCCTACGTACTCGAAAGGTTTAATGTACGTAGATAATAAAAATCTTTGCCTGATTGTTCCAGATCAAACCAGACCGGAGCAAGAAGTCCCACCGTTTTTTATGAAAAGAAAAACACGTCTCCGAAGAAATGCCAGTACGCCGCCATTTTGAAAAAAAAAAAAAAATATGTTTGTATAGTTTGATAGTTATATAATACAGGCCAGCATTTGATTTTTCAATCAAATTAATTTTTCTACTTGTAAAAAATGTTCAAAATTAGGTATCATTTTTCGGCCTCAACCGTGACGTCATCTCTTAAAGACGTCCCAAAGACATCCTGGGGACTTTTAAATGTCCACACAAGTCCCTAGGATATCCCTCGAAGATTTTGTGCTGTCTGGAAGGAGAGTTAAGCGGGAATATAGAAACCAGTGCAATGATCGTTGAACAAATTGACGAAAAAAAAGTGGTTTTATTATCCGACAGTAAGATATCAATTTAAATGCTTCACATGTACAGTTACAATGGTAATACGACTATTCGACACATTCTATTTTGCATTTTCTTTTTTCATTTTTAAGTACTTGATCAATTGAATTGTAGGTAGTGAATATCTCGTTTGAAAACATGGTAACTACAATTTTCGCTGACAACATACAGAGTGTCACTCGGAATTATGTCGTATACGTTACATACAATGTTCTGAAAGGATCAGTTGGATAACTGAAAGGATCAGTTGGATCAGAGAATCTGCCTTTGGAGAGTAGCTATATCCATGTGACGTTCAGAATTTCAACTTGGTAAAAATTTAAAGCAGTAAATTCTTATTTTCTTTTCGTATTGGCTGTATAGCGAAACTGCTTTACAATCATAACACTTCTAAATTGACTAAACCGCCGTGGCCGTCGCAGCCGCCGCCGCAGCCACTGGTGTTAGTACTTCCATTGCTACCGTTGCCATCGTGATGATCTCCGCCAAGAATACCTCCTAATAGGCAGCCGAGGCCACCCTAAATTAAAAGAAAACAATCAATTATTTGAATATTCGAGCTACGATGATGCACTGAAAAGTCTAACGAATGGAAAGAATTGTTCATAATAAAAATTTGTTTTTATTCTTCAAAATAATTCTCTCTTAATTAAATGTACTTAGTCCAGCGATGCTGATATAACATGAGACAGGGCATATACTATACAAGGTGTCCCAGATCATCTTCACAATCTCTCGTGAGGAAAGCGGATTGAGATGAACACAAAAGTCCTATACCATTTTGCGACATTCGCAATAATAGTCGAGATATTAATTAAAAAAATTGGTGAATGATAATGCGCGATATAGTAGGTAAGCTGCAATTGCACCGTCTACAGTTGTATACTTATACATTAAATCAAACTGAACAAAAAAGTCCTCTACCATTTTACAAATGACAATATAGATTTTTAGATATTAATCAAAGAAAATTGTTAGATGATTATGTACCATAATGCACAAATTTTCTTTAATTAATATCTAAAAATCTATGTTGTTATTTGCAAAATGGTAGAGGACTTTTTTGTTCAGTTTGACTTAATGTACAGGTATATACAACGGCAGACGGCGCGATTGCAGCTCATATACCACATCGCGCGTGATCATTCACTTTTCAATCAAATTCAATCTTTTTTAATTAATATCTTGAGATTTATTGCGAATATCGCAAAACGATATTGGACTTTTGTGTTCATTTCAATCCGCTTTACGTCCTCACAAGAGATTGTGAAGGTAATCTGGGACACCCTGTATATATTAAAATGTTTAAATTTTATTAGTACTATATGTGTTTCAGTATAAGTTTGCACCACTTTCAGTTCTCCGTAATTATCAGTCTCCGTAATTATCAAGAAAGTGACGAGTTTACAATTAAAAAAACCATCAAAAAGCAGTGGCGTAGCCAGTGGGCTGAGGGGGTTGCAGCCCTCCCGAAATTAATTTTCTGGGTCTACGCTAAGTGTAAGAAAAATTTTTTCGAATGACCCTTTTTTTGCTCGTTAAAAATAAAAAGTGCAGCCCCCCGAAACTTTTTTCTAACTACGTCACTGTCAAAAAGGATCACGTTGAAAATGTAAGGTATGACCAAAATCGTAATGTGAATGAAAAGAAAACAGCAAATAAAATTTTTTATGGAAGATTTCAAAGGAGAGCAACTGAAGACTTCACTTACCAGCAGACCACCACCACCATCACCACCTGGCCTACAAGACACGTAGGCCACAAGCACTGTCATAACAATGAGGAGTAGAGAAAGCTTCATATTGTCTCAAAGCAGCGTTCTACTGTACTATCGAACTGTTCTACTGTACTATCGACTGTGATGCAGATTGAAACTGTAATGCTGCAATGTTGAAGAACGATGGCTTATAAACCCAGTTTGGCATTTGTGAAAACATTTTACCGAACAATATTTGTTTTGCCGAATACTTAATTTCTGTTAATAAACGCGACGATGAAGAGGTGGAGTGGGAACTGAGCAGACGAGAAAAATAATAAAGAGTGTAATTTCCATCATATGAAGTATTAAAATTTTATATTGTTCAGATGAACTTTCTCTTAATTATATAATCGTAATTTTTCGAACGAGACATTCTCCTCTTTCGAGGATGTTTGAATAAGAAGAATCTTTTTCTACTGGATAAACGCAATGTATGCTATATTTAAAGCGTCACGAAATATACACTTGCGAAAATAAAATTTGCCAAGCGACACGAAAGTGGCAAATGCACTTAACCGTGCATAATGTACATATTGAGTTATATCTACATATTTGGATAACCGGGAGTTACCTTTATAGCGATAACAAATAAAATCATGTTAGAAATTATTATTTATGTCTGAAACGGATAAAAGACACAATAAGATCGAAATAGTTATTAAATAAAATGAACAAAAGAGTAGAAGTTAGCAAAAAAGTATCACGTAATTTTAGTACGTATATATAACATTTTATTTGATAGACGCATTCTCATAGATATCCACACAGCACAAGATTTAAAAGATGTCCCAAAGACATACAGAGGATTGCTAAATGTCCGCATAAATCCTCAGAATATCTTAAAAATATTCCAAGGACTTCTAAATGTTCACACAAGTCCTCAAGGTATCCCTTCAAGATCTATGAGGATAGAGTTGAATGAGTTAACTTTTTTTTTAACTAAGTTAAGTTAAAGTTAATGGCTTTGAAAATTTAACTTAGTTACGATAAAGTTAATCCTTAATGAAATTAATTGAATTAAAAGTTAAATTAATAATAAAAGTAATTAAAAAATTAAAAGTTAAATTTGTTTTATTTAATGACTTCAGGGTTTCAGTTTTACAAATAACGGAAAAAACAAATGTACACTTTATTTGGAAACATGTTTTATTTACAGATACTTATTAAATTTAAGTAATAAAGTTTTTTCAAAATTTTTATCGGACATTTTTTCTCGAGGATTGTCGAAAATGAACCCTCCTGCACTGAAAAGCCTTTTGACGTCTCGCGACACCTTTATGACATGGTTAACTAAGACAATTGAATTAAAAGTTAATAGTTATCGGTAAAATGTAACTAAGTTAAGTTAAAAGTTAAGAGTGCAAAAATGTAACTAAGTTAAGTTAAATCTATTTAATTTTTTGACTTTTTAATTTAACTTTTAACTTTTTAACTAGTTACTACCCAACCTTGCATCAATGATGTTATCATAATTTACGTGTAAACGCTCAACTCTGGACGAAAATTTGAAATCTAACGCACAACCTTGTAGCATATAAATTATATTATAATATATTATATCTATAAAATATATATTTTTTATGGTAAATATATATATATATATATATATATATATATAAATATACATAGATACTTCTGTTATGTTTAATAGTATGAAAAAATAAAAAAGGGAAAGAGTAAATCATTTTTTGTTCCTAAATACTATTTGAAAATAAAAGGATCTAACTTGTGTCTGATTTTATTTGAGAATAAAAGGCTCGTTTGACTTATCGTTGAGTTGTCCTACATCTTCAGTTTTTTTATTAGAAACTATAATAACTTGTAGTAGGAATTTTAGGATTAAAATTAAAAATAACAGATCTAATTACGAAAACCCAATTAACCAAGACTCGAACCCCACTTAGTCGAGATTCAAACCCGTCATAACGAGTTTTTTGAAAACACTGTTAGATGGCGCCAGGCAGGCCGCCAACTACGTTTCGGAGAGTCAGTTTTTTCCTCTCAGCACCGCTAGGTAACGCCAGGCAGTCCATTAGTCGTTATTGAATGAGGTCAGAGTAAAGTTCGGTTATCGCTTCAAAGTATACTTTCAAAGTTTTTGTTGATTGTTTGTGATTGCCGCCATTTTCAATTATTAATTGGATCGAGGTCCTGATATGAGTCAGCAACGGACGAGCGATTTTACTTTCCAGGAAGAAACGACTCAGCATCAAGTAAGCACAGTTGAATGTTATTCATAATAATCTACGAGATGTAAATACTTTGGTTAGGGATACTAGGACTAGCTCTGGAAAGAAATCGGTTGATTACCGTCGATCGATCTTAGGATAGAGATAAGGAGCGGAAGTTGTTATTTTTTATAAGCTTATACCCAGACAGAATAAAGTAAAAAATCTTAAAGATAATCTTTAAGACGTCTTAAAGACATTTATACATAAATCGTCTGAAAGACATCTTAAAGATGATCTTTAAGACCTCTTATGTCCCGATTTTAGACATTATGTTGTCTGGGTACTCTTTACGATATCAGGTCGATTCTTTTTTCTTTGAATGTCGTCCGTTTCTAGCGCGAGAGAGGGAGGGAGAGAGATAGTTATGCGTTTCTTGCGTCTAACATCCGGTTAGTCGCCCATCCACTCGCGATCTCCGCGAGTCCCTCTCCTTCATCCTTCGTCCTTCCGTCCGACGCGCCGTCGTCCTCCTGCGCGCGAGGTTCTTGCTCTCGCCCATTCCGATTCGGATTTTTCGTTTTCGTCGCAGCTGTCGACGATGGACAAGAAGTTGGACCAGCTGGTGTACGTGCCGAGCACGACAGCGACGACACAACGACAACGACAAACGTATCGAACGGTGAGACTCGCGGTAATCCTTATACTGAACGTTTTCGAGTCTCATTCGCGAGGGACTATTGTTCCTCGGATACATCGCGTTTATCCTTTCTTCTTCTCCAATATTGTCTCTCTACAGGCAATTCTCAAATTTATCATACGAGATTACCGCTTTATTTTCTCCCTTCTCTATCCTAATCTCAATTGTTTAGATTGTCATACTTATAAGATAGATTATCCGTTACAATATTATACAGAATATCTAATGCAAAATGTTCCTTGTGTAGATCAACCTGATTTGATCAACCTGAACATGGAACTCCTTTACTATTTTGCAAATAACGAGGTCGACTTTTAAGTTATTAATTGAAGAAGATTGGATGGATAATCGCGCGCGATAATGCACCAGTATTTTTTTAATTAATAACTAAAAATCTATGGGGTTATTTGCAAAATGGTAGAGGACTTTTGTTCAGTTTGATTTAAATACATGATGCTGTCAGAATTCATATGTTGTGTCATATACGATTATTCGTCAGTCTTCTTTAATTAATAATTAAAAATTTTATGTCATTGCTTGTCAAGTAATAGGGGAAATTCTGTGTCCAGAGTGATCTTAGATGTTACACGAGGTATGGGACACTTTGCGTCAGACATTCCTATACTGAGTATAGGCCTAACTAACTTAAAGGAAGCTTACATATATGTATATATATAACATATATGTACGTGACTTTATTGTATCGGATGAAAAATAAGAAAAAGGACAAAACCAGTATAACACAAAGGAAAAATATAATACAAAGTACACAAAATAAAGTAGGCGAGACATCAGCAATAATGCTGTTATAACTGCTTTACCTGAATACAACAAAGAAATAGTAATTGAGAATAAACGGAATATTCTGCTGGAAGCAGAACGAATGGACCGAGGCAAAGCATTAAGATACCTCATCGTAGCAAAAGAGAAGGCGGAACATAATTTCTGGGAGTACGGTGACGAGGATAAAAGTAAGCAGGTGCCGGCTACAAATATCGTATTCAATCAGATCAATTGAATGATAATCAGAATTATAGTGTAGTAAAAATAAGGAAGGGATTTTTGGTATTTGAGAATTATGTATGTATTCGATTTTCTTTTTGTCTCGAACTCTCGCTGAGAATCATGATTTCCGGTCTCTTTCTTATCTCGAATGTTAGAACGGACGCGGGCTGCCTAGAAACAATCGGGTATTCCGTCTGCATTGTGCCATGCGTCTGCGAAAGGTGGACGGACGACAGCAGAGAGCGGGACGAGAAAGAAGGAGAACGTTTTGCGCTGAGCGCGTCGCGGTTCATTCATGAAGTCGATCTTGCGCAAAATCGAGCCCATGAACGAACGGACCGGCCACGTCGGATAGGAGGCAATGAACGAAGGGGAATGCCGTTACGGACTTAATTATCCCGCGATTACTCGTAATCAATCTCGCGGATTTTTACGCGACGAGCCCTTCATAATTCAGGATCGTCGAGCGCTTTCATTCGTTTTTCCCTCATGCGGAATTTCCCCTGTCGCTGCTGGGCGCAATTTTCGCCGTGCGCGAACAGATTCCGGTCGCGATAAAGTCCCGCGCGAGACAAATTGAAGTTTTTCGCGAACGAACCAGTCCGTAGACCACCGCGCGCGATCTCTCGTCTTCCCTAGCTCCAACTGGCTCCCCCGAAGATGTGGTGCTGATACGATCCTATCCGCTCGTTTTGCGCTTCGTAGCGTGTTTCGATTCGCCATTGCGAGTAAGTTCGTATTAATTGTTATTACTTGAAACTTGTACATCTTGTACATACTTGTAGATACACTCTCTTAAAGTGAATCAATGAAACATCATTGAAAGCAGTAAATATACACTGATTTGCAGCTATAAGTGTAGCACTGAAACTGCTCAGTGCTGTACTTGTAAGTGACTATTCACTGATTCACTCTAAGAGAGCACAGATCTGAACTTACCAGGTATGTAAATATGAAACCGGAATTTTTGT